ATACCAGATATAGGGTAGTCTGGGATATAAAAGAGGGTAACAACGTGACGGGATAATAAGGTAATGTGTGTGTGTAGACAGTGAGTAATTGATCTGCAGTCAGAGAGAGACGTATTGTTGTTATAGCGTTTGTTTTAGCGCGATTGTTGAAATTAAATGTATCGTAAAGTTATATTCGGAAAGAATAAACCAGTATTATTAAGTAAGGACTTGTGTCTATAAAGTTTCATCGGAACGAAGTTACGGAAAGTTAATTAGCAAACGGAGACGTAACAGTATGATTCACGGTACAATGAATGTTAGTATCAAACAAATATAAACCGCAAACTACAAGAATCATGAACCTGTTATTTGTTTACTTTTCGCTCACTGCATCAATGTGATGGGTCGGCTATATTCCAGTATGCATATTAAGGAGAATCTCTTTTAGTGTTATGACATGTACGAAAAAATAACCTATTTTTTTCTTTTAAATTTAGAATGCACTTGAATTGTGAAGTGCCGGTACGAGTGCAGTGGCGTAATAAAATGCATTAAAATTATGAAAATTAGTCTCAGGGAGGGTAGGAGACTTCATAAAATTTAATCCAGAACCCAAAAGTTTCCAGGACCCTAAGGCGAGCCCTGGACCCTAGCCAGTGGCGCACATTCGCTCGGTCACGGTCAAATAAACCTTCCCCCCACTTTTAATTTGCCTCATACACCTCTGCATTGTGTACTTGGTTTTTACCTAATGTACTATACACTATTCGATATTCTCACTTAGAAGTTCTTATTAATAATTACAGTATTAATGCGTTAGATGTACACGGCGTTATTTAGAATATTAATACGTTAGGGCTATATGTGGTCTTAATTTAGGCCTCTGCGTGGTTAATACGTCACTTACTTGGGTTTGTATGCCTTTTCTTCAGCACAATTTGTATGTACTCTATACCTCAGGTTTCTTTTAGCAAAAGGTAAAATAAAAAATTATAATATATGGTGTAGATGCCTGGGGCATTCTTGATTCGCCGCACCAACTGCTGCAAAACATTTTAAAAATATAACTATTTTACGTATGCAGTTTTCTTAAAATCACCCCATATTATATAATATTAGAATATTACGTAGTATGACATTTAGTATTATCAACTTGAACGACACTTTAAGCGATACATGGGTTAAACGGCCATGTTAGATATCCAAAAGTTCAGGCATAACTATCATTAATTTAGAATTACTGACCAGAGGGAGGGTAAAGGGTCAGCAGTACTCGTTGCCTTCAAGGCCACTTTTAGCTATCAAAATTCTAAAACACCACAGCTAAAAGTTTAGAGCATATTTAATAGTATATGAGGCTAGAACCTTGTACCTTCCGATCCAGAATTCGGCACACTAACCACTAGGCCTCGTCTGGCTCAACAATGTTTTATTAACATAGTCTATATGTCATGTCCCAAGTGGCACAGCGGCAAGTCTTAAATCTTATAACGCTAAAAACCGGTTTTCGATACCCATGGCGGGCACAGCACAGATAGGCCATTGTATAACCTTGTTGGTAACTATTGTTGC